TTACAGTACAATTAGAAAGAATTGACGGAGAAATATATTTGGCAAATGGATGGGAAAAATTTTTCGATCATCATAACTTACAGAATGGTTATGTTGTAGTATCTGAATCTAATGAAAATTCAATGTTGAATATGAGGATATTTGATCATTCTAGAGCAGAGATTACATATGACTCAAATTATGAAGTAGATGACGATTTAAATATGGATAATCCTTCATTTGAAGTAAAACTTACGCTGGATCATAATAACCATCGAAAAATTATAGATGTTATTTTTAATACGTCATTCTGTATTTACCTATTCCACATCATTTTTAATATTAGTAAATCATTAATCTGTATTTTCCAGTCTATACCAGGAAGGTTTGCTAGACACCATTTGCCAAGATATGTGCAAAATGTTCGAATCCTCGACTCTTTATTTCACTACTGGGATATCACCGCAAATTCAAGAGAAAATGGTGTAATGCACCGGTTTAGTGTAGGTTGGACAGATTTTCTGGCAGATAAGCAGCTACAAATTGGCGATACATATGTATTTGAACTATTAAATAGGGAATCTCCAATATTTATGGTTTATAAAAAAAAATTATAAAAATATGACTCTAATACGTCTATGAAACATTTTTTTGCTGATAATATTCCTAGCTAATAATGTTTAGTTTTTATATTTATTCAGCAGTTAATCATCTCATAGACAGTTTCATAGACTAGTTTATTCCTTTCTTTTTACATCATAATATTAATAGAGTATACATCATTGACATATAAGATTCATAGACAAAATTTGAAGTTATTCTTCAAAAAATGAAGGATACTCCACGAGCATTCTATATGAGAGCATTCCAAACTGAGCCTAATTCGTCAAATTATAGATTTGGCATCATCTCCGTGACAGATTTGACAGATTTAGACCATAGAGACACCCCAAGTGAAAAAAGGCAAGAAAATGTTGAGAAAAACATCCATACAAACTCGCCTAAGGAAAATCTATTGCCTCCAACAAAGACAGCCTTTTCAAATCTTCCAATGATGCTTCAAATTCAAATGTTACTTCTGACATAAATCTGTTTGCTCCAAAGCAAAAGATAGAGTGAAAAATGATTGAAATATTTTTGTTTGGGATAAAAATAAATGGCTTGTTATTGTCAACTTTATTTTGCTTTATTTTGGCAACCATAATGTTGACAAATGATGTATGTATAACATGCTACTTACATCATTTTTTGCTATCCATTTATTATGGATAATAGAATATTTATTTTGTATTTTTGCAATGAATTGTCAACATTAATGAAGTATATATTCTCATTTATTCTTTATCTTTCATTTACTTTATTCAAAGCAAATATACAGCTAAAATATCCTTGCACAATTTTTCACTTTTAAATTTTGAATTTACTTATTACACCAAAAATAATCTTAAGGTAATTTCAAATTGTTTATATATTACAAAATTTTCACATTTACAATCAAAAACTGAAATATTGTCTTTCATTTACTTTATTCAAAGCAAATAAACAGTTAAAATATCCACACACAAATTTTTCACTTTTAAATTTTGAATTTATGTAGTTGCACAAAAAATAACCTTAAACTAATTTCAAATTGTTTACATATTACAAATTCTTCACATTTACGATCAAAAACTAATCAGGAACTACGGGGATATAGAAAATATTGATTATAACAAATGTTTACTACAATCTTTCTTCTATATATACTCATCATGTCTGCTTGAACTGTTTCTAATGGATAGTTTAAAACAAAGCATTCTATATATTTGAGTAAAAATATTGAAGAATTTGCCATGTATAAAAGAATTGTTTTCTGTTAGATAAAATAAATAGTAGAAGGTAAAATCATAAATCAAGAAAGAATAAATGTTGTAAATTTAAATACATTGAATACATACATTTTATTTGCGCAAGGTAGGTAAGGTATAATTTTCAAATTGAGCCTTTTGTTTCTATGCTTCCTTAAATCCGATCTCCTAGAAGAAAAATTGCTGGAATCCAATGAAATTTGGACTATTTCAACTAATGACTTTATTTGTTCCCTGATTTCTTCTGGTGTATGAGACACCTCACTACAATCGTATATTTGAACTTTCCATTCCATAAAATTAACAAGATAGAGATACCAAATTTTTTCCGTATATGAACATGGAATTAGTAAATAGTTGCAAGCTATCCATGAACGTCCATCTATCGGCAAATCACCATTCATGTATTGCTGTAAAGTCACAGTTAATAAATCCTTTTGAGAATGGCTAAAACATTCTGCCATTACATTATGTTGCCACATCAATTGGGCAGCACATTCATGTTCAAATTTGAAGTCCAGAATTACATATGCTTTGGAAACAGAACTGCAACCTTTATTGATCAACTCTCTCAATAGTTTTAATTCCATTTCTATATGCTAATACAATAAATATAAATAAATTAGAAATGTTAAGCATAATAAAATTAATTAAGCTAGAGTTATAAATTTCACTAACCGTAATATTGATATCTTTGGTTGCATCCATTATAGTTTTTAGTGTATCTCTTCCATATAAGTTGTCAGATTCTACAATCTTTCAGTATGCACTATATGTATTATAGTTTAAATTAATACTAAATCAATGTAATACAGTTAATAAAATATAATCAAATTTCTTACCTAGATGGATTGCGCACCACCTACTATCTTATTGTTGTATATCTTTCCATGAGATAGTCTTCTAACGGATAACCTGAATACTTTATTTTCTTATTTTTCTTTTATTTTCTGGATGTTCCCACCGATGACATTTGTTGAAATGGTGCTTTCTGGCCACTACTAGAACCAGGAACATTCTGCAATTGTGAACAAGCTATAGCTTCCAGTTTTGATTCCAAATCATCTAATCGATTCATCACATTTTTGTGTTTGTCGTCAATGTGCATGGTCATTGAAGCAAAATTGATGTCCATATAAGACTGCATGGAAGCAAAATTCTTGTTTATATAAGACTGCATTCCCAGATACTGATCTTCATGCCATTTTTTTTTTGTTGAAGCATTCCTTGATACTGCTGTTCATGACATTTCTGTTGTTGTTGAAACATTTCTTTCTGTTGATCAAAAAATGCTTGATAACGAGCATCTTGTTCTTTTGTTTTCTGAGCAGTATGATGGGAATACATGCCAGACTGGAAGTCCAAACCCCTCGTGTTAACCCTCGTACCATTTCTGATGTTGTTCAAACATTTGTCTCGGGTTTTGAAGAGTTTCTGCTTTTTGTCTTCTTGATTCATCAACTATGTCTGTCTTCAGATTATGACATAAGCCAGACATATATGACATTACATGCTACCTATACATACTGAACATTTCTTCCATTTCTTCTCTTCTTACATAGTTAAAATCAAGAGAATAACAACCAGACTCTTGAAGTCCAATTGAAATCTTCGCCATTGAACTACCAGCAACACCTGTTTGTTGCTCGTCCATACGTTCTGGAATTTGTTCCTCGTCCATATGTTGTGGACTTTGTTGTGAAATTTGTTGATATGTATTCTCAAATTCTCTACCAACGATGCCATCTAAAATAGTATGTTGGTTATTAGTTGGTAATGATAAAGTCATATACCAAACTTTGTCCAATTCTTCTTTAGTAGATGCTAACACTGCAAGTACTTCAATCTACAAATATAATAAAAAATTATAATACTTTCCTCTCCCACTATTAAATAATTAGATAATTGATAGTTAAATGTAATGTATATCTAAATTTATCGTACATTTTAGGTAGTGAGAAATTGTTTTACTCTTCTCTCACTCAATATTTTTTTTGGCTTCCATTTATGCATTCTTGGAGCATGTAATGTCTTATACATACGTCGTCCAAACTTGTTTCCAATTTGAGGAAATGTTTCGTTTATCCAAAACCACAACAGAGAATTCAAAATTAATATTAAATACGTATAAAATCAAAATATAGAGTAAATAAATTTAAAAAAATATCTGAAAGGCAAGGGGATATCCATGTAGTATATATTTACATTCATTTTGACTAGACTGTTGTATTCTTTGTATTCTTTCAATATGTGATTGTTGTAACGATTTCAACAAAACAAAGTATACCTTACGGCCCCAAGGATACAGTAAAAAAATCATTTAGCTACTTAACCATGCCTAAAGTTATGTAATCAATGTATCTATCCATTGGTGTCAAAACACATTCTACCAACATCACCAATCCCAATTTTAATTTATCCTCTGGATGTTCACATAATTGGAATGCATCGTAAAACATTCTCATGTTAATTCTTTTTTGCCTTCAATAAATTGATCTTTAAGTCGAGAATTGTTGGGATCAAGATTAATAGTTTGTTCATGACAAGGTAATCCCATGATTAGAGAAAATTCTTGCAAGCCAAAACGAGCAAAATGATCGTCCAACCTCACCCACACCTCATTCTTTATACCGCAGTCAACAAACCTCATTATAAATTCATGTATTAGTTTACTACTGAATTGTTGCTCTTCATCTCTATACATAAATCCATAAAGAAATCCATGAAAATTGTTATCCCTAGTTATTAAAAGTGATTGCTCATCTGCTTGAAGCAATGCTATACAATCTTTTACATATTGGTAATTGGGGTATTGAGTGATAATACCAGAAAATCATTGGTTTGGTGACAGTATATAATCTAGAGACATCTGCACAAATAATAGAAATGAAAAGTGTCATAACATATACCAACATATCTTCGTGATTTCATATAATTATATATCATAAATATCATGTAAGCTAGAAAAAAATTACTGTCAATGCATATCAATTATTAGATTTAATATATATTTTTAATTTTGAGATTCTGTCTCCAATTTATATAAAAAACATTATAATTTAACTTTGAAAAAAGAAACAAAAAGCGGGGAGTCCCCACACCAATGTATTGGTGCGAGGAGTCCCTGCAACAATGTTGCGGGGAATCCCCGTACATATTCGTGTGAGGACTCCCTCACACAGATTTGTGCGGGGACTCCTCGCACTGGTATTGCGGGAAGGGACTCCCACACCACCGCGTGCGGGCACTCCTCCACTTACTTCTTACACCACCAACTTCATTTTCGACACAAACTTCACCTTTCTTCCACAAATATCAACGATTAAAAATAGTAAGTTATTCATATAAATAACATTATTCATAAAAATCAACTTACCTTAGAATTTGTTGCTTAATTGCACACTGTAATTAGTTTGAGATTTGAGATGAATGAATTGAAGATGTAGATGAAAAATGAGTTATGAATTTGAGGTGAATAAATAAAGTAGGTTGGTGAAATAGTTACAAACATTAATTACATATGGCATTTATCATTTTGTAAGATTCTTTCCTTTTTTGGCATTTATCTTTTCTTTGCAAGAAAGAGACATGTTTGTTTTCATCCTCTATCACAAGTGCCATCACACTGAAAATGATACTTAACTTATTGAGAATAATTAGATGTGCAATATGGCCATTGCGTCTATACTTATTTATCGAATCTCGGACGAAGATAAAATACACGCACAACAGGTAACAGGAAAAATATTCCTAATTTATTGGCTAATCTGTGATTTTACATAGATAGTGCAGTGTTTTGTTTTTAGTGAAAAAAGACTAATAATTAGATTGGATAATCGATGATCGACTTGACATAATCTAATTATTAAAGCGTATATCAATATATCTTAGGTCCTTGTCATAACCCTTCAAAGTAATGTGACATAATTACTAAAAAAAATTGAATTTTATTACAATTACTAGGAAAGTTTTGGACTTAATTACAACTATTATAAAGTCTTGAATTTTATTTTAGTTGCTACGAAAGTTGTAAACTTAATTGTAATTGTAATTAAACTTCTAGTACTACACTTATTAATTAAATAAATTGTGGATAATTTCGACATAGACTTTAATTTTCAATTGAGGCTACCGTATCGACTTTAAATGAAATATCTTTAGGAAAGTTTAAGGGCCACGTTAGAAGTTGGAAATGGAAGCTATAGCAAGCTGGAACAATGTGGATCAACATGGAACGGAGTCAAGCACATTGGCTTGAACAAGAAATGGAATGACGGTAGCTTACATGTACGCAATCGCAACGCATAACCACTCATGCAGTCGCACAGACAGTCACAGGAACTCAGCGGCAGGGATACACACAACCATGTGACCACATTAACATATACCATGTGATGGCAATGCATCCGGAGCAGAATTTTTTCCAAAATTTCGGCCACTCGCCAAAGTGAATAGGAGTCTATTTGGCTGACAGTTTGTTGGGATCCCTTGCCATTTGTCCCTTTATTCAATTAAGTTTTTAATATTTCTTTCCATATTTCATAATAGTTTTGGACGTATTTACTAGGTTTATAGTGTTTTATGATTTTAATTCCTTTTAAATTAGCTTTTATAATTTTAATACCTTTTAAATTAGTTTCCTAATTATTAATATAACTAGGACTCTCTTCATTATTGTAAAATTTAAAGTTATTTAAATGTTGTTAAAATATATAAGTACGTAAACAAAGTAAATCCAATAAGATTAGATAGTAATAAATTAGATGGACATAAAATTTGTAATAAAACATTATGATTGCATATAAAAATAGCCAAAACGAAAAACAAGTTAAAATGAAAAAATCTCATAGTCCTGTCAAACTTCCATCACTGTGATTTTTTTGTACACTAAAAATTCCAGAGGTTCGTTGTTCAGTAGTTTAAATACGCATGCATCGCCAATTTCTAATTCCTTCATGGAGAGAAAATGTGTCCATCCTATAGTGAGACATCGTACCACACCATTTGACCTTAAATTTGTAGTGATATCCCAATTTTGATGTAAGCAGTCGTGAATTTTAACACTACGCACGAATTTTGGCAAATGCTGGCCGGCAAATCTTTCCAGTATATACTACAATGCCATGAATGAATTATTAGTCTTGAGGTCATAATTATAGACTTAGTACGACTATAAAATGAAAATATTTATTCAAAAGAAAAATTACAATTTTTCGATGGCCATATTTACGGGGTGTTAACTTCACTTCGAATACAGGATTATCTATATTCGAATTGTTGATTTCTTCACCTTCTTCGGAGACGTCCGACTCATATTTCACTTCTAACCCATAATCATCCATTATGATCACGTTAAATGTCGAATTTCCGGTATATTCAAATATTAGGCAATAACCATCGTATAAATTGTGATGATCGAAAAATTGCTCCCATCCATCAGTTAAATAAAATTTCCCATTAACTGTTTCTAATTTTATTATCGCAATTATACCATCGTACGTAATTACACGTACTGTATCGTCGAATTCGTGTCTCCAGTCTTTCACAAACGCTCTAGGAATCATCTATAAACAAATATATACGGACGAAAAATATAAGTAAAATATGAGAGAAATTCATTCCAGCTAAAATAATAATAATATTGTATGAATAACCAGATTGATGCCGTGATTGAGGGAATTACTGATAGTTATGTAAAAATGACGTGGGACATCCATTTTGAAGCACTGCAGTGGTACAATTTTTACAGCGATAATATGTACATATTTTTTTTCATATGAATGATTGAAAAGGTTTTTATAAAATTATAATAAAAGGAATAAGAGATTGTGTGCATCTATAAATTTTTTCGTACAAATCAATCGATCTTCGAATAAGTTATAACTTAAAAATATAGAATTAAAATATAAGACGTAAAATATAAGAGAGTAAATAGATAAAGACATGTTTCAGTGAAGCAGCAACAAGTCTGGAGTAAGATTTGCAAATTTGGAAGGATAAACATTCTTGTAAGTAAATATTGAAAACACATAATTATATATACTAGAAAAAATGCACTTTTCGTTCTTATTCATTTAGCCCCCTGTGAAAATATTATTTGCCTCATTTTGAAAGAGGACAATTTATTTGCCACATTTTAAAAGAAGACAGGACCCATGTGCCATACCTGCACTCCTATTGTTACATAGAATAACCTTACGCTATTTTTTCATATGTATTTACATTATTCAACATTCTTTTTTATTTCGTGGGGTCCATTTCCTTTTTCCAAAGTCAACTTTTGGTCGAAAAGAACAAAAAAATCTATTTTTTTTACTACATGGGACAAAGAAGGGGGTAATATCGTAATTCTATGTTGCATTAATGACTGCACTCTCCATTGACATGGCAACAATGTTTGAATTACATGACTCAAAGGTTGTAGATCTCATTGAATTTCATGAAAACGTGTTATAATGCCAAAATATATGTTCAGAAATCAAACAAAGATGGGGGCGATCTTGATCAGTAAAGAGGGTTGAAAAATGGATGAAATAATAAAATACTTTCGTGAGGGTCAAACACACGATTTGACAAGAGGTATTAAAAATAGACAAATTCTTATTAAAATAGGTTCACGGGTTACAAAAGTAGATGAATTATATTATTAAAAATAACTATTCTCGTTGTTTAAAAAAAAAATACAAGAAAAAAAATTTATTTAGATTTTTTCTTTTTTTACGTAATATAAGTTCTTTTTACGATTATACATTTTCCTTTTTACTTTATTTACTTCCAAATTATTTTTGACACTCTAAATATATTAATCTATTTATTAAAATATAGTTTGAATAACAATATATATTTTAATATTCATATCGAAAGAAGTCTAGAGATAAAATTAAATAGCAAAAATTAGGGTAATTGGCACAAAACATCCCTATCGTTTGCATTCATTGTGAAATCATCCCTATAGTTTTAAAATTGACATTTACAACCCTATTTCAACCTTTTTTTGCGAAGTTGGTCCTTTCCATCCATTTCGTTTGTTCCTTCCATTAAATATACATGTGGATTGCATTTAAATCAAATGAAAAGGGTATAAAAGTCAAAGCACCATTTTTTAATTTAATGAGTGGACGTGAAGGCTGACAGAGAGAGAGAATAGAAAAGAAAAAATTACCTGGAAAAAGAATATATTAATTTCAAAAGACACAAAGCGTAAAAAAAAAAAAAATAGAAAAAAAATTTACTTGAATTTTGTTTTGTATACAAAACTGTGCTTGTGCAAAATATGTGAAAACAAACAACAAATTCTATATTATCTAAAGTCATTGTATAAAAATAAATAGTTGTGGAAATTCTGTATTTAATTCTTCTTTTTTATTCAATTTTTTTTTATATATAATCTAAAATCATTGAAGTAACGTATCTTCTTTTTTATTCAATTTTTTTATTCATTTGTCTTGTTATTAATACTTTATTCAAAATATTCTATTTGCAAAAATGAAATATATCTGAATATTTATATTCAATTTTTTATTGTAAGTATCTTTTACAATTATAAGTATTTTTTTACTTTTAAATAAACTGAAATAATTTCTTTCTTATAAGTCGCTCTTTACATTGGAGATATTGTAATTTTCTTATCACTATTTAATTTGAAAAATAAAATATATTTAAATATTTATACTTCAGAAATATAACGTTCGATTCTTTACTTATAAGTAGTTTTTTACAAGTATAAGCCAAAAACAATTATCAGAATTTATACTATTTTAAAATTTTCATTTCAAAAAAAGAAGAATACCTAAATATTTATATTCAAATATTAGCCTTTACAAAAAAAAAAAAAATCATTTTTTTCAAAATAACTTTATGTGAATTTTATACTTATAAGCACTTTTACGTTTTATAAACAAATTTAATTTCGTTATTATTATTTTTTGTTTTTCATAATCTTGTTTGGAAAACGAAATTGTATTTTTAGTTATAAAAAAGTTTTAATATTTTAAAAATAAAGAATCACTTTCCTATAAAAAAGTTCTTTACAAAGATATTATTACTAATTTTATATAATCTAATTCAAAGTTGATAATGTGAAAAATGGAGAAAAAGTACATATTCAACTGTTTTCGAGTTGAGCTTGCCAACAGTCAATTAATCATACACCATTTCAGAGTATTGTCATTTCCACTACCCATTACTTTGAATTTAGTGTACTGTCATCTCCGACTTGCATTTTCCTTGTCCATTACTTTGAATCTAACAAACAATCTTTCTTCTCTACTTTTTCACGCTATCAGCCATCAAACATTTATTTCAGTAGAAAAGATATGTATTGAAATCATTTCTCTTTTTACAAAGAAATTAATTCTCTATTTCTATCTAAAATATATAAAGTTACGTGTAACTAAAAAAATCATGACTAATAATAAGATTAATTTAATTTATAAAATGTACAAAAATAGCCTATAGACCGATTTATGTTTCCTTTATTTCCTTAATATTAAAAAAAATTAAAATTCTCAAAGCAACATATAGGTCAAAAAATAATTTAGTGTCACGTCATTTTGATTTTTATGTTATTTTAACAGTTTATTTTCATTTCCTTTTATAATTTCAACATGAATATTAGGGATTCTGAAAATATCCAATAGTGGCTAAAAAAATTACATAACACTTGAATAAAATACATTCTTTACAGTGATTAAATGACGACATTCAATTACTCCATTACAATCAGGCAAATTACATTACTCCATTACAATTACGAAGACAGACATGAATGAAGAAAATATTCATTATTTAAAATACCAACGGCAATTTTTCGTCTATATATAACCATCATGTCCGGTGAAACTGATCCTATTGAAAATCCTAGAACAAAGCATTCTATATATTTAAGCACGAAAACTCCACAGTTCGGCCTATAATAATTTTTTTTTTTGTAATTAGTATTTACGAATAAATATCTATTATATTAAACAAGAATTATTTTCAATGCTTACCCGTTGTTTGCACAGGATAGATATGGTATAATCTCTAGCTTCATTTCTTTATTTCTGTGTTTGCTTATACCCCGTCTCCCTGCAAAACATTTGTCGAACAGTAAAGAATTAATCACGGTAACTTTCGCGTTCGCATGTGCCTTTACTGGATCCGGTGTATGCTCGTTGTGGCTGCAATCGTATATCTGAAATTTCTACTCCGAAATATTAACCAAAAAAAGGTACCAAGTATTTCCGAGAAATGAAATGGAATTAATAAGTACTTACACCCTACCCATGGACGGCTCTCTATAGGCATTTTGTCGTTCACATATTTGTTCAGAAGAGTTCCATCTGGTTCACCTTTATTATTTCCCGCCTAAAAATCCCTTTGCCAAATCATCATATTGGTATACGCATTTTCAAATTGAAAGTCCATGATTGCATATTCTTTAGACCCACGGGTGCAACCATTAATATTAATCGTCTCAACAACTTCAGCTCCAATTCAATTGCCTGGTGGAATAATTTGATAAAAATCAAATATGTTAAGGATGAAATAAAATTAATTTTTATGAATAAACAGTACTGACCGCAATATTTATATCTTTTGTTCTATCCAATAAAGTTTTCAACCAATCTCTTCCATAGACGTTCCCAATGGCATCTTCCAAATATGCACTGCATAGCATAATTAAAATTAGAGTTGAATAAATCAAAATAAAATTGTAGTATTTAAACCAATAATAAAAAATCATCTTTCTAACCTTGATTCGTTCTCCGCTATCCAGTTTCTAAGAGTCGAGTATTTTTGCATAGAATAATCTTCCAAATGACGTCTTCTAGGCGACGAAGATTGTATTTGTTTTCCCTTTTTTTCTTTTCTCGTTGTGATGTTTCAGAACTTTCGACTTGTTGAGACGTTGATGCATCCTTCGGTCGATCATCGGGAATTGAACATGTACCAATAGGAATGTCTTCTTGCGTACAACTAATAATGACTTCCATGTCTGATTTCCATTCAGATAATTTCTGCAGCGTATTCTTATTTTGTTCATCCACATAATATCGCATGGAATCTAAGCTGGTATCTACATAAGAGTGCATGGTCCGATAATGTTCTTCTTGCCATTTTTGTTGTTGGAATAATTGTTCCCCTTTCTCCAAATGTGTGTTAAAAAAACTTGATAATGAGTTATCCATGTAGGAACGCATAGTAGTTTGCATATAATCCTCCTGCCATTTTTGGTGGTGTTCGAACAACTGTCTTTGATTGTCATAAACTTCTATTCTCAAGTTGCCTCATATATGAAGCACCTCTTTTATTATGTTTTGCTTCTAGACACCAAGTAGTTCTATCATCCGGTCTTCAGTCACATAATTAGAGATGTTAGATCCAAAATTAGGCCCCGCTACTTGTGAAGTTCTTGACGTACTAGGAATGGTCGTCTCTGGCACATATATGTTATCCCTTTCTTGCTTAAAAGTATCATCTGGGATTTTTTGTGCCACATTGCCTAATTCTCCATCGACGATGTCATCTAATACACGATGTTCATTATCAGCTGGCAGTGAAAGATTTATATATCAAGATG